GTGGACATACTACGAGGTGAGACTCTGGAGAATGTTGAAGGTGGGGTCTTTGGGATCTTTTTCCCAAGGTGGCCGATCCATTTCTTTTGCTCCTCCTGGGTCACGGCCAGTAAGAGCATATCCCGGGCAGAGGTGACATCATAGTTTACTGTTAAGAGATAAGGGAGCAGATAAACAATCAAACTGAGGTCCATAAATACATCTTACTAATAGGGGCAAGTATTGGCATGGGTGTTGCGATAGGATACGAGTCACGATACTTGGGTCACAATATGACATCACAATATTAGAATATCACTGTAAATTGCGATATTTTTCACAGCCATCAAATTAAGCGTAAAGATAAAAAAAGCAAGTGTTATTTTGGTATCTGTGTTGTTTGGGGTTTGATTCTTCCACTGCGACAGCCTCAACTACAGTTATGGCGCTGTGCCGCACAGCAAAAAAGCTGCACAGCTATATCAGTCAGTGGCGGTGCAGAGGTAGCCCATTTTCTTTCATTGTTTCAGGTAAAAATGTTTGGATTTTTTTAACTCGATACTAGGAACTAAAAGATCGATATTATATTGGGCAGTCGAAATCACAATATATCTCCAAATCGATTTTCCCACACCCCTACTTACTAATGTGAGAAAAGGAGAAGAAAAAATAATGACAATTTCTATTAACGCCTTTTATTTAATCTAAAAAGTAAACCACAACACATCAACCCCGTTGGTTTAGATTTAGGCTTGAAATACTAAAGCTGAATTTATTTTTCAATGATTATCTATAGACCTAGAAACTAACGAGATTTTGGACAACTAAGTCTAGATTTTCCTTTTTTTTTGCCTTAGATTTCCTTTAACCAAAAGTGTTACCCTACCTTTGCAAGGAGCAATAACGTCTTCCTTTTTGTCAAGGTGGTCCCTGTGGCACTTCACGTGGCAGCGGCGGCACTCCAGGGCCGGAGGCGGCTTGAATACATGCCACAGGGGCTTGGCGCAGGCCTCACAGTTGGAGGGGAAGTGATATAGTGTGGGGATGAACTCATGACCTTTGTGTGCAAGACAGTTGGTCTTTTCGCCCTGAGGGACAGGAACTTCCTCAAGCTCCTTTCTGCACTCTCCTTCATTGGCATATAGAATCTGCACAGACAAATGTACACAAATCTGAGTAAAATGAGAAAGCGGGCAGGAAAAACATGAAACCAGCAATCATGATGTAAGATTTTAACCTGAAATATCCTAGGAATCTCTTCTGTTTCTGCGCGGTATACGTCCCCTTGGGTGACAGGTCTCACATGAAA